GCGGATAACAAAGACCCGTTCCTCGCACTGCTGGAGTACAGGAACACTCCAGTAGACAACACATTACCGTCGCCGGCACAACTCCTGATGAGTCGAAGATTGCGCACGCGCCTGCCGACGACAAACGAACAGCTGACGCCAAAGATTGTCAACCACGAAAACGTGCGACGACAGCTGGAGCAGAAGCAGCAGCGTCAGAAGACGCAGTACGACAAGTCCAGCCGACCTCTCCCACCGATATCACCTGGAGAAGAAGTAAGGCTACAGCAGCAAAACAAGAAGTGGACACCTGCTACAGTTATCCAGCAGACAGAACAACCCAGATCATGGCTAGTAGAAACGCCAGACGGTGTGCAATATCTGAGAAACAGAAAGCATCTTCAGAAGATAAAAGAATCCAGCGTTGACACCAGCGACGAGTCCGCGGTCGACGAGTCTCCGACACCAGTCCTGAATGACACCGCAGCACAACCGTACATCACTCGATCTGGAAGAGCTGTGAAGCCACCCGTGAAATTGGACTTATAAGATTTAAAGTTGACAGAACAAACCGGAAAACGGACGTGATTCTGGACTACGATTATGGACTTGAAGAAGTTAGCAAAGCAGCAAGTAGCAGTAATGCATGCGAGAAACTAGAATGCAGTGAATAGAGGTAATGCATGCCAAACAATTAACCTTTTAAACAAAGGGGGATGTTGTGATATTAAGCAAAGTTAGACGACACGCCTCTAACTCTCTGTGATAGACTAGTCCATATCTGAATATTAAGTAGCTCAGTCTAGCAGAGCAACCCCAGACTCTAGTTCCTTCTCATTCTGCCTGGACTCCAGACTGAGCACATCCACGTTTGTACCGTTACTAACCCTTCCGGTTTAAAGCATCTAAAACGGCAACTCAAGGTCTCTGTCCAAGTCCACTGTCGAGTTCAAAGAGTACATCAATGTCGACCTGCTGTAATTAGCGGAAGTCATGTGACTAAAATACGTGTGCTGATTGGCTAAATGATTGCGGACGCGCAGCACACATGATAATTACCCAAGCCCGCGTCAGTCGAGGTCAAGTGTAGCTGTGCTCCGGTTGTGCTTGTGTAGTTCCGGGTAGCGTGAGTATTTACTAGTTTTCATTGTGTACAATAAGCCTTCTCACAGATCCAGCGCCGCACAGGATTGTGGGCCAGGTCAAAGGTTAATGTCACTTCGGACGGACGCGCGAACCGTGCGATGTAGCGTGTTTACATGCGTGCCGGTGTTTTGGTCTCATCTGTCATTGGTTTTGGTGCTTTCTGTTGCATTTTTCGCTGGTGCTATGGAGTTTGAATGTGAAATAGACTCAAAGGGTAGTCTTTGGGGCCATTGTTCGGTGTTTGGATGTGAAAATGGCCGACGAAAAGTGGAAGATTGGGAAGCTGAACAGTGCGCCGTTCACCCAGGTTTTTTTTTGTTTTTGCACGCGTATCTTATGTTGAACCTGTGACTTTGTTTTCATTTCATTCCATTTTGGTTCGTCGAAATGTGTCCTTCCATGTATTTAATCCGTTGTTTGTTCGTCTGTATGTTTAAATTTGCGTCTCCGCCACATGTCCCAGCACTGGCACCGCCGGTCACGGCGTAAGTGCAAGCTGCGTAAGGCGCTATATATACGTTTCTGATCCACTCTGGTGGACCCCTACTCTTATCGACAAGTTTGGCGGGTTCTTTTCCGTGTGACTCTTCGGAAACACCGGACCGAGGACTTACCTTTCTGCTACGAAGGACAACAGCCATTACTGGTTTGGTCCACAGATGGGGACTTGCACCGCCGGCCACGTCTACACTACATTCGCACGTCATAAATCTTATGGGTAAATGATCTGTCTTTGGGCCACAGCATGATGGCAGATATGGTATTTATTGCAAATCTAGCATAAGTCTGTAGTAGTAGATGGTAATGTATGTTAATTCTTGTAGAGTTTTACATGGGTTTCTATATTTAAAGGAAAATACACAAACACAGATTTAACAGAATATGTATTTGAATAACATGTTGTGTTTAAATTAACCCATCCATATATCTGAGCCATTGTTTTTTTATGTTGTCTCCTTGTATCCTTCTAACCCACCCCTATCTCAAAAACTGTCAAATGGTGAAACATACAATTTTCTTGTACATTTTTGCAAACCACAGGTTACAAGCACAACAAAGGACAGTGCATATGCCCTCCACCCTTCATCCTTTGGACATTCCCAACTCAGAAAAGGGATGCAGAACGCAGAAAGCAGTGGGTAAAGATAGTGAACAGGATAGACAAACTGGCAGGCAAAGTTTGGCAGGCAAACTCGTAAGTACTTATACATGATGCACATATACATAACTAATATTAACAAAAACTTACACTACATCTAAACTATACAAAACATGGAGTTAGTTCCTCATACATATTCATAACAAATATAACTAGTACTTTCCATCAGTTGTAGACAAACCACACATTAATTCAGTTTGCAGGCACATCTGCTAGTTACATGTAGCAAAGCGTGTTCATTTAGTTATCTTATTGTGTCAGTTGTACATTTCTAAGCACTAAACTATATCTATGTACTATGTTTTTTTCAGGAAGTCAAGGGTATGCAGCAAACATTTCCGGGATGGAAAACCAACGCCGGCAAAACCCATACCCTACAGAACACCTTGGCTACAACGTGAAGCCACCACCTGCTGCAAGAAAACCACCCTCTGCAAGAAAACCACCTACAGCTAGACCACAACCGCAGCCAACTTCTTCCACCTTTCCAACAACAACAGCAAGTAACGATGAGATGGTATGTGATCCAGCTACAGTCTCTACTGACTTTCTTCAGATGGACCATACCTACCACACTCCTATCGCAGCTACATCTTCCACTGAACATGTCCAGAGTGACACAGCTACCACACACCTACAACAGCTACATCTTCCACTGAACATGTCCAGGGTGAACACAGCTACTCGTTCCACAACACTCCATGCCAAAACTGTCAAAAACTGCTGAAAGAAAATGAGGACCTAAAAGAAGAACTTGAACAGCTAAAGCGTGGACAGGTTAAGGACACTAAGCACAAACCATCGACAACTCTCACTGACAGAATCATCAATCGCTTTGTCAGTGCAGATTCGAAAGTATGTAGAAACACTGGCTTACAAACAGCAGCAGCCCTAGACTCCCTACACAAGTCTGTGGAGAAATATGCAAACAAGGTCAGGTACTGGAGGGGAACAAACAATGCCGTACATGTGAAACAAGGTGTCAGAAAATTCTCAAAGAGCCCCAAAAAGTTCGGGCCATCTCGGAAGTTGGGGAGCCGAGACGAGCTGATCTTAGTTCTGATGAAGCTTCGGCTTGGTGTTACTAACACATTATTGTGTGACATTTTCGGCATATCACAAGGGCTTTGCTACCAATATAAACACCTGGATTCCACTTCTGGCATCACACCTTAAGTCCTTGATCTTCTGGCCTGCAAAGGAGGTCATCCTTCAGCACATGCCCCAGGCACTGGGGAAAAGTACCCACAGCTACGCTGCACTATAGATTGCACAGAAATATTCATCCAGAAACCAAGACTCTTCGAGCTCCAACAAAAAACCTGGAGTGACTATAAAAAACACAACACTGCAAAATACCTGATCGGGATCGCACCAAACGGCATGATTTCATTCTTGTCGGACGGGTATGGTGGACGATCCTCAGACAAGAGCATCGTTCATGACTCAGGTTTCCTGAACAAGGTGGACCCCAAGGACATCATCCTGGCAGACAGGGGGTTCACAATAGCCAGCGACCTGCTACAGAAAGGAGCCCGCCTGGAAATTCCACCCCCCAGCACTGGAGTCAACCAGCAGACCAGTGAGGCAGTTGCCAAAACCAAGAAGGTCGCAAATGCAAGAATTCACGTGGAAAGAGCAATAGGTAAGAAACTCAAACATCAATTTTATCAACAAGTCTCAAAACACTTCCTGGTTCAATTAAAAAGTTCAGACTAGTATATGCTGCTACAATGAAGTTTTACAGTTAGTGATTAAAGGTAATCTTTTACTTTTTGCAGGGCGTATAAAATGGTTCACCATCTTGAAAAACACTGTCCCAGTCAACATGGTGCCGATCCTGGACGACATTGTGGTGGTGTGTGCTGCCCTCCCCAACTTAAGGCCTCCACTTGTGGGGACATGATGTTATAGGTAAGTTTGACATTTATTCTTGACACTTATCACAAAACCAATCATCACACAGATTGTCTGCTTCAAACCCAACACACCCCCAGTGAGGTACGACTGTTAATATAGTGCTATACAATTATACAATTTGCAGAACATGATCTGAACAATTGTATGGGTTGTTTCAAAATAAACTTGCTTCTCGTCTGTCGTTCTTTTGACTTCTCTCAATGACGATAAGTCCGTTGCCGTGGAATTGACCACTTCTCGGCCGAGGACTTCACCACTAAAAGTGGTCAATTCCACGGCCGTGGAGTTGAACAATCCACGGTCTCCGGAATATTTTTTTTTTAATTTGTTATGTTGATCATGTAAAATGCGTAATTCAGCATCTTTGTATACAAATAAAGCTGCCATGTATTTTACCGAAATATGAACGAAGTCAATAAACTCAATATAAACCATTCCACACTGGAGAGAGTTTGACTGGGTGATTCTGAAAGTCGGTAAGATACACGTGGAGATAAATGCCCTGAAAGCATTTGTCGACATGAATTGGAATGTGTGGTTTTCTGAGACGGGCTTCAAGTCTGAAGGGGCACAAAGTGTTGCGCAATGACACCACAAAAGGGAAGTGACATTTGAAAACTGCAAACTAAAAAAAAACTTCACACTTCACGACAGGTATGAATCTTCTGACGAAGACCCCTGTTAGGTCTCTGTATGAAGCCCTGACAACCCGCTGGATAAAGACGCCATGGTGGTGGTGATGCCACCTCTGCACAACATCCCAACGGCGGACGACAAGCGGTCCACGGCGGCCCGGCACATCGCTGGGAAGTGGATTGGACGTCTTCTAGCCGGCCTGTCCACCATACTTAGCAGGATGAAAGCAAACAATCAGTGGGAGGTTACAGACAACCAGCAACAACCACCAGCATGGTTGACTGATAGCATTGAAAACAGAAAACAAAGAGTAAGGGGAGCTATTATTGGGGTATTCTTCACATGATGGGGACCCAAATGATAAAAAAATAGCAACCAGACAATCAGGGAAGTAGAAGATTTGAGAACTGATCATGAACAAACCAGAGCGGTGGAGGACAGAAAACTAAGAGTGGCGAGAAGCTCGGTTCCGTGGGTGCTGTTCAGAAGCGTGGCAATGGTGACCACTCTGAAAGTAAGCAATTGCCACCATATGTTCCATCTCGCCCATTCTTCCACCTTCAGAATTCTCGCATGTCACCACAAACTCAACACACTGCTCAACACATTACTAACAGGAGCCGAGTACCTTTGTCACTCCTGCAGTCTATTTCATGCCACCACTGACATCCACTCCAAACACCATACCACCACCACCACTACTACTACTACTAGGAGCTGACTTACCTTACCTTAGACCTTAGTTCCTCCTGTGCCTGACTGACTGGGAGCTGACTACTGCAGAACAAATGAAAGTCCAAGTGTCGGGGATTATAAGCCACGGTCAAGGACTGCCAGCTACATGACATCGACTTCGGAACTGAGGAATCCTGACGCCAGAAACGAATGGACCCGGCGTGTTGAGAAGAACGTGAGCAAAATCTGGGTTCCAAATAATGACTCGCGCGTTTGCTCCATCCGTTTTGTGGATGGTGAGCCTGCGGAGGCGAACCCTTGGCCAACACAACACATGAACACTCCAGGACTTCAACACGCAAGGAAGAAGCCTGCTCCTCGCACACCTGTTGAGAGTTCATTGAAAAAGGGGGCGTGGAAAGAAAAGTACGGCAAGTAAACGAGACAGCAGCCATTGGTAGCAGCTTCCCTACAGCAGCTGCAGACAGCTCTTGTCTAGACCATGACTATGATATTGCTCCAGCAGAAACTGGTGACATGTCACAAGATGCAGATTCGAGGGCTTAAGCAAATGAACATCAAACTAAAATTGGAAGCGGCGAGTCTGAAACTGAATAGGACCACTTAC